AAAAGTTAGGGAGAATGTACTGGGATAAATTCCCCAGCCAGGATGCACACTGCATTTCTAACCAGTTCAAATAAACAGCTGCTGAAGGAAATAATTGCCTTCATTAATGGCAACAGTTTATTTTAAAATCTGTTTGCCCAAAGGGAAGAGCAGCCTGATCAGAAGGATATTTTGTACCATTATTTGATATGTTCAGAGACAAATGTTGAGATTCTGGGTATATTTGGCATCCCTCACCTGGTAAAATAATTATATTGCCTTTAAAGTTAAATGTATCTTAAAACTGAGTAGAATGTCTCTATGTAAGAGCTTGTTTGTGTTTCCAGTCATTTTAATCTGTGGTAAGAACCACTCTTTTAAGGATCTGCCTTATCAATAAGTGCAAACAGGGCTTAAATGCCAGGATATTCAGGGTGAGCAGGTGAGCAGGACATCAGAACCTGTCTCTGATAAATGCGTAAGAAACAGGCATCCAAAAGGCACATAAATGTTCAATGCAGTTTCCTTTGTATTTCCCAGTGTCATTTTTAGGTTTCCATTTCCTCTGAGATGGTTTGACCTTGTTGACAGCAGGGGTAAATGCTTTATGCAGCAAAGAAAATTACTTTAGAAAGTGTAATTCTCTTCTCTTGCTCCATTCTGTGCTTCATTATTTACTACAGAGCTGAAGTACAAAAGAACAGAAACTTCACTGGTGTTCAGGAGGAAAGTTATTTTTAGAGTCATTTTGTTGCCAAAGCATATAGAAACCTTATGTGCTACCTCAGAAAGTTACCCTGGAATGGCAAGGAAAACAGAGATGCCTGGTTTTTTGTCTTTTTTTTTTTTTTTTCCAACCACGAAGTTTTGTTCCAACTAAAAAGTGATTTTCCAAATGAGAAGTTGCAGGAGTCACTGAGCTGTTTGAGTTAAACCTAAATGTGTGGTCACTGATTGTGGGGTATAAATACAAATCAAGATTCTCAGCAAGGACTGTGCTTACAGGTATAACTTTACTTTCTCCTCAGGGAAAAGCATTCCTGAATCTGCACTTTCCAGAGTCATTTATGTTGGAAAAAGATCTCTAAGATCATAAAGTCCATCCATTAACTGTTAACCCTACACATGTCCCCAAATGCCACATCCACAAAGCTTTTAAATCATTCCAGGGATGGGGACTCCACCACTGCTGTGGGCAGCTCCAAAGCTTGATCACCTTTTCCATGAAGAAACCTCCCCTAATATCCACTCTAAACCTCCCCTGGCAGGGCCAAGGAAGGGCTGGGAGTGCCTCTTTTTCCAGAGATGTTGTTGAAATTCGCCCAGCTTAGGGAGAAAACCATCATCCTCCAAATAAATCCTTCTTGGGAATAGAGGGGGAAACCAAACTCATTCACAGACCACAGCATGTTGTGTCTCCCTGCAGCAGGACAAACATTTCAAGCAAAGTGTGGAATGACTTCTACACTCTCACTGGCATCATTTCAGGGTTACAGTTACAGTTGTTTTCTACAAAAATCTCAGTTTGCTTTATCTCCTTCCACATCAACGCAGGTTTTTATAAGCTATTGTGATGTTTGCCAGGCAAAAGAAAAGAAAAAAGCCCTCAGGCCCAAAACATCTGAGCCCTCAGCGATCTCAATACTTCTGGGCCACTCTTAGAAGAAAAACCTCCTTTCCTGTAAGTTGTTTCTAGGATGCTGACAGATAAAAAACATTTTATGGTGAAGTAGATCAAAACTGTGCCTAGAGACAGACTTTGTGTGGTCTCAGCTGGCTGAATTCATGCACATCCCAAAAAGAGAGGTGGGCGTGGAAGGGGAAGCAGTGAATCCATACCCACACCCACAGAAAGTATTAAAACCCTAAAAAGAAATACAGGGGAGCTGGTTATTTGCACAGGTTGATACCCAGGATATTTGCACACGTCAATACCCAATAGGTATTGATGAATTAATCTTTCTAGAGGGTAATTAGAGAGAAAAGAGGGAATTATTTGTTGTGATTTCATGAGGAGCAGCAATGGGTTTAGTGCTGCCTGATGTTCTGCAAAGGTCTTCCCAGTGGAATGCAAAATTTCCCCAAATCACATTCCTCAGGCCTTTAATTAAAATACAATCAACTTTGTATTTTATGAAAATGCATCTTCTTATCCTTGAAAATGTAAATACTTGTCTCTCTATCCATCTTTAAACACTACAGCAAGTTAAATAATGATCTGCAGCTAAAGCTCCTTTAGTTACCAAACAGCCAAGTCCTTAGTGACGTCATGGAAAAGTTTATTTTTCTACTACTTCTTTAGGTATGTGAATATTCATAATGTTTTCAGAAGACTGGCTATGCTGCAAAAGGCAGCAAAATTAAACACATTTTCTGGAGCTTGTGCTCCGCCCTCAGAAATTAGGACCAAGGAGGGAGAGGACTCTGGAAAGGGAAAATGAAGTCAGAATATTTGTGAAATCACCAAGAGGGGATTTCCAGGATACTCAGCCTGCTCCCACACTGCTCCCAGAGGCAGAGGGGACAAAGCCATCTATTTCAGATAAAAGGGCCTGAAAGTTTGATGGGAAGCAGCTTTTCATCAAATAAAGTTTATTTATGTATATATAAAATTCAAAAAAACATTGAAAAAGAAAAGTACATTTAATTCCAGTTTTAAAAACCAAAAATTCCTATACTTGAAATAGAAAGGCGCATAGTTGTCAGATTTAAAGGGAAAAAAATAAAAGGTTCAGTGTAAAAGTTCAGTATAAAAGTACAGCTGCATTTTTATAAAAGGCAGGACAACAGACACAACATCATCACTACATTCCTTTGGGATAGCAACTAAGAAATCAAGGATGATCATTGCATTTATGGGACAGGAACACCCACAGCCTGGAAACCAAATATATCAAAAGATACAGGTACCAAGATATGAAATGATGCTTATTATGGTAATAAAATGATGAGAAACACACCAAAAATGCGAGCACAAAGCCAGAATACAGACTGGGGTAACAGATGTAATGCTTTCTCCCAGCTGACTGGACCGTGGCAAGAAATACAATATACATGATGAAAATATAAGCTGGTATTTTCAACACAGGAGTAAGAATTCATATTTCATGTGAGCCAACTGTTGCACATTTCCTTCAGCACTGAAGGTTATTTTAGAGGTATGAAAAAGATGAAAGATAGGATTTTGCTCTCAGACAAATTGATTTCATTAACGACACTGGCTCGCGTGTGTGTAGCACAAAACATCCTGGTCTGCTGGGAAGATGTTTCAGGGGGGAGCAAATATCAGGATTATCCCAAAAAGAGTGAGGAAAAGGGCCACAGATGAACCAAGCTCTTCCTGGTTTTCAGCTGGGCTGAATCCAGGGAGCTGCCAAGAACTCCAGGAGAAGCCTCTTATAACTTGGCACATGATAAGTGTTGATTTGTATAAGTTATAGATAGTTAGTTAATATAGATATTAGTTATAGATATAGTTGTATTAGTTATAGATAATGCGCTGTAAGTTGCTATAAAATAATAAGCTTATTTTAAAATTAAATAATAAGCTTATTACTTTCTTTGGAAAAGTGGACAGAAAACAGCACAGAACTTTTCCTGTGACTCTTTCCATATTTCTGCTCATTAATCCCGAACCAGATTTTTTTCCTTTCCAATAAGAAAGTGGAAAAATGCAACGTATAAGTATATCTAAAGCTATGTGATTTAAAGTATATTATTTGCACAATAAACTATAAGTTACTATGAACTAATATAACCATATATAGATAAATAAACTATAAGTTATATAAACTAATATAACCATATATACATAAAGTATACAAACTATATATATAAAATTATATCTATATAATTATATAGATATAAAAATTTATATATAAAAATGAATATATTAAAAACTATATATATAATTATATATAATTATATATATAAATTTATATATATGTATGAATATATTTTAAAAACTATATATATATAAATTATATATATATAAAATTATACATATATATATAAACTAAAATATAGTTTTAGATCTATAAACCAAGTTATATAGAAATTTTGTTGTCATATGGATGTAAACTAATAAAAAGAAGGGGGGCTGAGATTGATGCTTACTGGAGACGGATCCTACTCTGTAAAAGTTAAAAGGAGGGGGAGAGTTAGAAGTTAAAGGAGGGGGAAAGGGAATAACTTTTGTGGGATGAGGGTTGTTTGCCCCAGTCCCGCATGCCCGTGTCCCCGGCGTGCCCAGGGTGGCAGTGCCAGCGGATGCCCCCTGCCAGGCTGGGGCTCTGCGTGCCCACCCCCATGTCCCGGGGGAGGGAAGCGCTCCGGCCGCGGGCTGGGAGGAGAGGGCTGCCTGCCAAGCCGCCTTGCCTTGGAATCAGCGCTCTCTTGGAGGAGCGGCGCGCAGGAGGAGCGAGGAGTCCGGGCACGGAGCGGGAACTGGCGCTGGGACACAGCGGCACCGACGGCGGCGGGGCTGGGCAGCATCCCAGCTGCGGGGCGAGTGTCCGTGTGTCCGGTGTCCGAGTGTCTGTGTGTCCGAGTGTCCGTGTGCCCGAGTGTCCGTGTGCCCTAGTGTCTCTGTGTCCGTGTGTCCGAGTGTCTCTGTGTCCGAGTGCCCGACTGTCCGAGTGTAGGTGTGTCCAAGTGTGCGTGTGTCCGACTGTCCGAGTGTGCGTGTGTCCGAGTGTCCGAGTGCCCGACTCTGCGTGTGTCCGACTGCCCGAGTGTCCGACTGTCCGTGTGCCCAACTGTCCGACTGTCCGTGTGCCCTGCTGTCCGTGTGTCCGACTGTCCGTGTGCCCAACTGCCCGCCTCTCAGTGTGTCCGTGTGTCCGTGTGCCCGCCTCTCAGTGTGTCTGTGTGTCCGTGTGTCCGGCTCTGCCTCCTCCCCGCATCCCTGTCCCGGTTCGGCTCCATCCCCGCCGCTCCCGGAGCGCTGCTCCCGCAGCCCAAACTCTCTCTGCCCGCTCTCCTCTCCCAATAAAGTTCCGGGACTCCCGTGCAAGGCAGCGATGATCGCCCGTGGCCGCTCCGGACTCTGCCTCGCTCTCTGCGCCTTGGGGCTGGCACTGCTGGGCGATGTGTCCCGGGCTGTCCCCATGGACGATCAGGATTATTACCTGCAGGAAATCACCAACAGGGATCATTATTACTCCTTTCCGTATCCCGGGGAAGAGTTCTTTCCTTTCACGGAGCAGCCCGGAGAGGAAGGACCTATCCGTGCTGCTGAGAGAGAGGAGCAGCCAGGGTTCAAACCGAGCAGGAAGGAGTTAAAACAGAGGAAAAACAACAAAAAAGGAAAACCCATTCTTGAACCGCCACCAGGTAACTTTCCACCTTGTCCTCCAGAGTTTGGAGCCTGCTGAATCTCACGCTGGCTGTGACTTTTAGCATTAATGAATTTCCATTTAATGACAATCTTGGTAATAATAACAATAAATGTGGTTGTGGTGATGATGATGACAACACATTAAATTTTAATATCCCACAGAACAGAACTTTTACATACTTTGAAACAATCTCTACTTGAAAGGGAAAGAGTTAAAGAGTTGGAATGTAGTAATTCTGCTGTACTCTGGCTAGTCTGTGGACTTTTCCTTCTTAATTATTCTTAATTACACTTGGCAACTGGCTTGCTGTGAAAGCTGCTGTTCTATAAGCAAAAGAACAGAGACAGATCTCATAGTAAAAGGTGATTATGTATAGTGACATCTCACCTTATCCCTTGTCACTTTAATCTAAGAAAGGCTTCTGAATTAATTTCACTTCTAAACCTGTGAATTTCTCTGAGATTTCACTTTTAAGCCCTCCAGAGGAAGATATGTAAACAGAGATCTTCCTGGAAAAGACTAAGCCCTAACAAGCTCCATTTAATTATGGACCAGTTAAGTAAAGAAATTAAACAGCAACAAAAAATGACTTATAATAAAAAGGCCACCCTTAATTCCATTTTTGAAAGTTTGCAGAAACTCGATCAGCTTTTACCACCCACTTGTTCCCATTAACACCTGATTGCACCCCAAAAGAGTAATCCCATTCTATGTTCCCTGTCTGGTAGGTGTTTTACTGGTTTGGGATACTTAGGAGTGAGTTTGGTCCATGAATTTTAGAGTTGTAAAATTTGGGGCCAAATCTCACTCCTCTACAGCTGAACTTTCCTTCAGGAGGAAATTTCATGTTAATTACTGGGGCATATAGCACAAAGTCTGTGGTTTAGAACCATCAGTACAGCAAAACAGGGGATCAGGGATTGTAGGGCGGCTTTAACTTCGTCCAGTGACATCCAGCAGGTAACAAACAAAATATTTGAAATTTAACGTTAGCAGTAATAAAAATTAATTAGCATTTGTGCAGCAAATATATGGGCCTTTATACTAATAAATAGTGATAAGAAAGCGTAATTTCTAACACCTGACATTTCTAAAACCATTTGTGGGACAGGCAGCGTGGCTTGTCAGAGTAACTCCAGGAAGAAGTCAAGGGTGATGGTGGATGCACCTTGTCTGGGGAGAAGAGACACAAAACATCCATGTCCCTGTCCCCCAGGGGCCAGCAGCTTCCCTGGACCACCTCAAGTTCATTATCTCAGTATGGTCACTGCGGTCTACGGGAGATCTGAGAATGTTCTTGTTCCAATGTGTTATTTGTTTGGTTTTTTAAATTAAGGAAAAAGGTTCTGCTTTCCACCTCCACAGACTGAACAGCTGGATTGACAGGACAAGGGGGAACACTTCCTACTGCCAGAGGGCAGGGTTGGATGGGATATTGGGATGGAATTGTTCCCTGTGAGGGTGGCAGGCCCTGGCACAGGGTGCCCAGAGCAGCTGTGGCTGCCCCTGGATCCCTGGCAGTGCCCAAGGCCAGGTTGGACACTGGGGCTGGGAGCATCCTGGGATAGTGGAATGGACTGGATGATGTTTTTAGATCCTTTCCAACCAAACCATTGCATAAATTCATGCCCATGGAAATTAAACTCTGTAATTAGGTTTTTGATTCCTCATTGTGGTAGATACAATTGAGATTTCCATCTTGGTGGGATGTTCTGTGGTTCATCTCTGCTTTCACCTTCCCTGTTGGCTTTTTCCCAATTTTCCCAGCACTTGGAGACTCATACTTGCTCCAAACATGACACTGTTGGGAAGATAATCCAATCCATGAGGGCAAAGTTTATTTTTCCTTACAGACTGGCATCTTCCCCGTTCCCCACCTGCTGCACTGAGTACAGAGGGCAAGGCTCGTGGTGCACCACCAAAAGCAGCTGGGAATGGCTCAATTTCTCCTTCTGCAGCAAATTTGGGCCCTTTGGACACAGCTGAGCTTCCAAAGTTTCACCAGCCATGTGCAATAAGAGGTTTCAAAGCCTCTGAGCTTTTAAAAATCAGCCAGAGGTACAACAAGAACCCGATCTCCTCCACCAAACTCCTGCTCCTTGATCCAGGACATGGGTGATTGATGTCAACTCAGCAAACTGGACTTATTTATCTGGGAAAATTCAATGGATTTCCCTGGGAGCAGCTGAACAATTTTAACTGCAAGAGGCATCACAGTCCCTGAGGTGAACACCAGTGAGGAGAAGGGTCACCACTTGCTACAGATGGGAGTGAAAACAGGAGGGTTCCTGCAGGAAGTGTCAGGCAGTTTCAGCTGCAGTGTTAAAAGTCCTGGCTGTAATATTTTAAATTTTCTCTTTTCTCCTCACCTAGAGGCAGGCAAGGGCAAGGTCCTGCCAGGGCAGTAACTGTGATGCTCAGTGCCATGTCCCCATGTCACCAGGGATCAGTTTGGAATGAAGATCTGACAATCTGGCCCTCACAGAGATGTTGAAATACTAACACATACCCATATTAACTCACATCTGCATGTTAAGAGGCCAGCTAGAAATAATAATAGCAGCTGTCAAACAAGTATCAATAATAATAACCATAAATCTGGCTGGGTAAGAATGTGTCTTCTGCTTGCATGTACACAACTGTGTTTATGCATCTCTCCAGAGGTGGAATTAATTTATTGGACATGCAGTAAATACCGAAATTTGGGGTTTGTGAGGCTCACTGGCAGCCAGGACATGTGGGATTAATTAGTTGCAACAAACAATAGCCTGGCTGGGAGCTGGGATGGGGAAGGAGGAGCAATGGGAATGTGTGATGTGCCCTTTGGCTGAGCAGCTGGTCCTGATCAACCCCAGCTTTGAATCAAAATGGAAATCAAATGGAGCAGTCTCAAGGACATGGCACTAAACAGATGACACACACTCCATTTATTTCAGCTAATTACTGAAGGTGGCCAGAGTACAGATGTTTTCAGTCTGTGAAATATTAATGTAGAAAGAAATCCAGTTGATGCCAGTGGGTTTGCAATTTTTGGTTTAAAATATTAGAATCAATATTTGCAAATAGTCAATTCAGGTAAAAGTTGAAAGTATCAATCTGCCTCTTTGCCCTTTAAATGCCTCATAAATTAAGTGGTACTAGGTCATCTTTGGAAGGCAAACATTTGGATTGACAGGTTTTGTGTATATAAACAGATTTCCATTTTCTAATTCTGTCCTTGTTTGTATAGGCCTCTGTCCAAAGCCCAATCAAATCAGTGGAAAGAGTCTTGTTAACATCAATGTTTTGCTTTTATGAGGCTTTAAATAGAGTCTGATAGATGGTGCCTCAGCTACCATCTGTGGGGCAGATCCCTTCAGAGTCTGGGGGTCTGACTACAGGCAAAAATTCATCATCAAGGGATTTTATAGGGCTGAGGTGCCCAATAACCTCATCAGTGTAGCCCAAGTCTGCCACAGTGAAGTTTGTAATTATTTCAATTTGATCTGCAAAATTTAAACTTGTAGAGCCATACTTCAATTCTGAATGTATTTAGAAACTAAAGGAGTGATGTTTATTTGTATGGCAGTGCTCAGAGGGGGGCTTAGAGCACATTTGCTCTGTATTTCACAGATCTCCCAGTGTTTGATCTCTGCACAACCCAACATTTGTCTGTGTTTAGCTGAAATCAGGATTTCCTTTGTCTCATCTCATTTGGTGCTTTCCCCAGACTTGCTGAAACTCCTCAGATGCATCAGTGTTTACTTGCCCCATATTTGTTTATTTTTCTGCAGTCTTGCCACCTGTTCAATAATGCAATTCTTAAGGGTTTGGTTTATTTCTTTTTAATTCTGTAGTGCACAGGATGGGCCAGGACTTTCCTGGGACATGTGTGTGAGGAGGAGTCGGTAAGGGAAGGCAAGGAGAGGATAAAATGGACAGTACAGGCAAACATGGAAATAATCCAGCAGAGAGAATGTGAATTTATAAAAATAGACCAATAGTACTTTAATTGAGATGTTTATCAAGATAATGAAAACTTGGAGAGAGATCAGTGAGTGAATGAGGAGGGAAAGCTGAATCACAGGGATGTTATTCAGGAAAAACTGGAGATATTTTGATGTGAAATGGGGGCGAAGTTCTGAGGAGTGTGTGAAGTTAAAAACATGACAGGTTTGGGGTGTTACTGGCATCTGTGTGGTGGTTTTGCTCACTAGGAAGAAGAAATGACAGAGTGATACAGAAGGCATTGAACTGACAGCTGAAAGCACTTGAGACCTGGTCACCAAGACACAGCAGCACAGAACTCCTCATGAGCTGGGGAACACCCAGTGCTGATCTTTTCCAGTCCTTTGGTGTCCCCTCTCTTAAAACTTCCTTCTCTGAGCAGCCCAAAGTGGAGCTCTCCTGTGACCTAGAACACAGACTTTAATTTTAAAGCTTCTGTTTACACTTCTCATAATGGGAACTCCTAAGAATGGACTTCCTGGCCCTAGGTGGGTATCCCATGAATTTTAATATGACCTGTATTGCATCCTAATTGCCATCTGTGACAAGCAATGTGGCTTTTAATGAGTTTTCTTTCATCTACCAGCCTCTATTTTCTCCTCAGCACTTCTAAAATATGCAGAATAATGTAATGCTCACTATTCTATTTAAGAGCCATCCTTTAAAGAATGTCACAACAAAAGAGGACAAGGGATGACTAAGAATGAATAATGAGCAATACTCTCAAAATTGGCCAAATCTTTTTGATTAGCATCTTTCCTTACCCATGGCTTCAATGAATAATGTAACATGAGAAAGAAAAAAAATGGGAATAAACACATTTGATTATGCCAGACAAAACCACTTTCAAAGATAATTCTTCCAGCAGCCTTCTCTGAATTCAACCTCATGTTTAAGGTGAGAAAAATGTCTCTTTAAAAACACATCTTTAAAAGGGGGATGGTTTCACTGAATAGATTTTAATATCTCAACCTGAGCCTAGAGCTGTTCCTGAAATGCCAGCAATTA